TCCAGCCAAGCTGACTTAAAACCTATCACATGATTTCAGAATGTGTTAACTATCCATGTGAGATTGTCATGGAAAATGGTGTTGTTCCCCTTCCATGGAAACTCCACCTGTACCTTAGAAGTTAAAATGAATTTTCTAGGGTCACAGAGTGAAGGAGCATTTGTGACAAATGAGGTACCCTAAGCCTAGAGGTGACTATTCAATTTGGCTATTTTAACATGGATATCTATATCTATCTATCTGTGTATATATAAATTCTTTTTTTTTATCACTCTGGTTCATAGGAAATTAACAGTATAAACTCAGTCAAACTTTTTGCTTCTTGCTATTTCTGAGAAGCTGCTTGTTTGATACTGACATTTCCACACAAGGACCAGTGGACAGTGAGGCAGAGATCAGAAACCCTGCTATCGGACTTCTCTGCAGAGTAAAAAGAATAGATCTGTTGGATTCAGCCATAAGGTTGAGCAGACAAGGAGAGACCAGGGCCTTTGATCTAAAGAGGCAGCATGCCAGGCATCACACAGAGGCATCTAGGACCAGCACGGGAGTCCCAGGAATCTCTTCACAGGCAGGTGAAACATACCAGCCAAGAATTGGGATGCAGGTAGTGTTGGCGGGTGTGCCCAGCAGGGAACTTGACCTTGAAAAGTCAATCAGCAAGTAGCACAGTGATAGTCACTGCTGCTGGGACCTTGAGGTGCACTGGCAGGAGTGAAGCAGTCTTATCCATCAAGGGGAAGGAAACAGAGACTCAGGTAGAACAACTTAGACAAAAATGATGTCATAAGGGATTAGCAACTTCATCTTGGGAACAAAGGGAAAGCATAATTATCACTATTAGATTATATAGGCACCCAGCCAAACAACCCACTGCCACTGAGTTGATTCCAACTCATAGAGAACTCTATATGGGGTTTCTGAGGCTGTAAATCTTTATGGGAGTAGATAGCTTCATCTTCTCCTATGGAAGGGCTGGTGGGTTTGAACCACTGACACTGAGGTTAGCAGCCCACCATTTAGTTGATGGCACCACCAGGCCCCTTAGATTATTCAGAGTAACCATCAAAGGCCAAACAAAACAAATACCAAACCTGATAAAAACAATCCCTCAAATAAGATTGTTTTCATTATTGGCAAGGACCATGAAGGTGGTAAAATAAAACCATTCATGCATTTTTATTTAGCTAGTTACCTCTATAGCTATCTTCACACCTGATGTTTTGTAAAAGTAATAGCCAAGCTAACAAAGACTTCTGAGGCTGACAGTGGCAGAACTAGAATCATTTCTCACTGAAGAAAGAGCCTGTGCTTAGAATTCTTCAGCCACCCACAGATTTTTAAACAGGATGTTCCCACCGTTTCGGTTTTATTTTGCAATCAGAACGTTATTGGTGTTAAGTTCTATCGAATCACTTCTGACTCATAGCTACCTGATGCACAACAGAACGAGACACTGAGCTGCCCTGCGCCATCTTCATAATTGTTCCTGTGCTTGCGCCCATTGTTGCAGCCACTGTCAGTCCATCTCCTTGGGGGCCTTCCTCATTTTCGCTGCCCCTCTACTTCACCAAACATGACATCCTTCTCCAGGGACTGGACAACATGTCCACAGTGTGGAAGAATAGACAACTCTTGACATGTCCAATGTATGTAAGACCAGATCTCACCAACCTTGCCTCTAAGTCTCGCTTTGGCAGACTCCCAGTGTAAGAAGAGTTAAAAAATAATGGTATAATTGATATTTAGGTTGAGAGAATAAAGCTTAGGTATATGCGTGTGGGAGAGGTTCATGTCTGCACGCACGCACGCATGCAATGTGTATATGTGAGGGTTATACCTAAAGGTGATAACCTCAGACACTCTAAAGTACTGCTCACACTTGAGTGCCCTGGTTTCCAACGAGTTTTGTTTTATATTGTCACCACAGGAGTTTTTGATCATTCTCTGCTCATGTTTACCCTATGCATGATTCCCGTTAGTTGTGTCTTTAATCACACTCTCATCTTAAAAGATTTCCTTTTGTGTCATGAACATTCCTTTTTATTGTCATGTTTGGATTTAAGGAGTAATTCAGGCACTCTCTCTCTAAAAGAAAGAAAGATAAAGAAAGAACCATGCTTCGGTGAAAATGAAACATGTCTCATGGTATTAAAGACCCGTGCCAAATGCAGACACATGACGTGGGTTTGTACTTCATCTGTGAGTTGGTAGTCAGAGAGAAAATTTCATCATGCCTCTGTATTAACTAAATGCCCTATCTGCTTCAATGTTCTAATATGCTACTGTAACTTGCTTTTAGAATACAGTTGTTTGCTTTGATGAATTGTCTAGAAAATCATAGCAACTGTTTTAATGCTGAAGTGAACTCAGACCACACAAGTACCAAAATACATACCACGGGTCTTCTCCTTTATGCTCCCGAGACTTTCAGCACTGGGATCCAAAAGAAAGTTGGAAATACATCCCCTTCAGTGGCATCTGGGTTACTATTTGCTCTTAAGTTCTTCTTCACGTTATTGGCCAAACACAACATCAGTTTTGCCTCTCTCTTTAGTTTAGATGCTGTAGAGTAGATAGGGATGGCTTTGTGGTAACCAGGGGTTTGCTTTGCTTCGGTGGTTTGGGGTAGGATGCTGCTTGTGCAATTTTGGACATCCCTTGAAAGGATTTTCAAAATAACGAATCTTTTTTTAAAATTTGCCTGATGGCAATGTGAGTGTTCAGTTGAGTGTAAAATCAGACGTGAATGTAAAAACTTGATCATGTTCATCAACGAGCAGCTCCCTAGGCTATACTTAGAGCATCTGCAGCTTGGCCTAAAGTTCCACGTGTGGAAGTCTAGAAGAAAATAGCATGGTGGGTATGAAAAAGACATGGGGCCCTTTATAAGTTCCTGTCTGCGCTCATTGTAGATCCAGCGTGTGGAGTAGCTGCCAAGAGAGTGGAGGCATACGGAGGCCCAGCTGGCAGGCCCAATTTCCAGAAACTGGGAGGCAGGGTGTGTCCTACCCTGCGCTTTATCCCCCCGCCCCTGCCAACTCTCCTCCCCCTGCCTGATGTATTGGGTTCAGTGTGTGCTTCTCTACTTAGCTGTATAAAATCATAAGTGTTTAAAATTGGAACTCATTCAAAGAAGAGTGGTCAGGATGGAAAGAAAACTTGAAACCCTGTTTATATAAGGAAGAGCTGGAGGAACTAGGGATGTTTATTCTGGAGAAGAGGGTACAGAATTTCTGTCTTCACAGATATAAAGGGCTGTCATGGAGAAGAGAGGTTAGATTTATTCTGCCTGGCTCTGGAGGGTAGATTGGGGGTCAATGGGGCAAATGTTGGCTCAGTATAGAAATAGCTTCTACTGGCTATACATGTCCTTATAAGGAGTGAACTGCCTCAAAAAGTAATAATTTTGGATCTTGAAGGCAGCCATGCCTAGACAGATGACTGCTGTTGTATAAAGGATCCTGGGAAAATCCCAAAAGACCAGAGTCAAGATCTGCAAAGTCTTCCCAACTCTTAAGGTCTTAGTCTGTAACTGACCTTTGTGGTGTTTCAAGCAAGTACATCTTTTGCCCACCCACTGTTGACTGAGCACAGTCTAGGGTGAAAAGAAGACCAGGCAGTCTGATGCAGGACCCAGGCATGCAGAGACGACAGCACCATGTCTAAGAGCCCCACAGAGGGTCCACGGATGTGATTCCCAGGGAGGGCAATGCCCGAGTTGGGCTGTGCTGCTCTTCAGTGTTCTTCGAGAATGAGGTCCTGTGGCATCTTCCTTTATCATCTCCCTTTGCTTGTGGTGATCATGGAGTTCTAGGTCTTACCACTGTATGGTTTGAATGGAATCACATCGTCAATGACAACCCAGATTGCACCTACACTTCCCCAATGCACTACTATGAGTAGAGGGCCTTCATTGTCCCATAAAAATCTTACCCAATAAACTCTGCAACCCACTGAGGATGCCTAATGGCAGAGCTGTGCTACTTCCCGTCTCCCCCCCCCCGCCCCCCCTACACACACACACACACACACACACACACACTTCTTGTGTGCTTAAGTTGGTGAGATCATGTTGGTATTGGAACACCCCTGAAGGTGGTGCTTCATGGACCAGTCCTGCTGGTGTTGGTGCCCTTCGCGATGATGCTGAGGTCTCCATTGAACATTCATGATCCTGGATTTGCAGCCTAAACAGACAGTGAACTACTTCATGTCGTAACCCAGCACAGTCACGCCATTCCTAACAGAGGTGACATAGATGGTTGGCTTCCCTTCCTTGTGTCCCTTTTGTCACTTGGTCAATGAAATGTGACTAGGTAGGCCCTGTGTCTCACAGAATCACTCCTTAATTATGTTCCTTTGGCCCCTGGCTGCAACCCTAGGGGGTCGGGCCATAGGGCCAGGAACTGAAAGAGACACTTGGACTTTCTCCTCCTTCTAGTTTTCTCCAAAGGTATCCAAAGGCTCTCTCTGCCTGGCCAATTCTTCTTCAGCACAGCGATAGAGCAAAGCAAACCACCAGTCTGGCAGCTTCATCCACCAGATGATCAAATATATCCATGCCTTAGATTATTATTGCTACTGATTACCATGTGCCTGGCATCGAGCTAAGCAGTGTTCATATAACCCTTGGAGGAATAGACTATTGTTAGGTGCCATTGAGTGACTTCCAACTCAACATTGTGCAAAGCGACCCTTTGTACAACACAACAAAACCGCTGTCCAGTCCTGTGCCACCCTCACAATCATTTTTTTTCTGTTTGAGCCGTGTCTATAGATGAAGATGAGGCTTAGAGAAATTAAGTAATTTGTTTAAACAGCTAATAGAATTAGAATGCACAACCAGACTGTTCTGGAATAATCCAGACACCAAGTCCCTAACAGCCCCCCAACACTGGAGAATAAACATTCAGAATCTGTATAACTCAATGAATAGCCAAATACCTATTCTTCTCCTGTCATCTTTACCTAAATTTGAAATTGATTTTTGCCTCCAGGGCTGGGAAGAAACAGTGGATGCTGCGATTTCCCACCTACTGAAGACCTGCCTGTCAAAGAGCTCGAAGGAACAGGCCCTGAACCTCAGCAGCCAACTGAGCATCCCCAAGGACACCAGCCGTCTGAAGAAGCATATCACCTTGCTCTGTGACAGATTAGCCAAAGGTGGCCGCCTCTGCTTAAGTACGGATTCCGCAGCCCCACAGACCATGGTCATGCCAGGTGAGTGCTTTGTTAATGCTCCCCAAACCCAGCCATCCTTTGTCAAATTAAAGGAATGTACCTGTGGTTGCATTTGCAGTTTGAATTTCATATAAATGTGATGATCTCTAAGAAAATTGCCTTCACATTTTCCCCTCAGATATCCCAGAGTAACCACTTACATAAATATTTCTGGGGTATTTACTTACTGGACGTTTCTCGGATGGTATGCCTTTCTTCTTCCTTCTGCTCTTAAATATATGATCCGTTTTGTTTTGCTTCTAACCAATAAAAAGTGGATTACAGAATGAAACTTATTTTTCAGGAGAAGCTTTCCTAAATGTGAGCTCACGACACCATATTTCATACGTCAAACAGCAAAAGTAATCCAGACGAGCCTTTTGCCTTCTCAGGTTGGCTTGGGCTGTGGCCATCAGACTAAGGGATCAAAGGACCAAGAAGATTTCAGGAGAGGGGAGAAGGCTCATAGTTGGGGTACCCTTGGACCAGGGTGGGAAAACATCCCTGCAGGCTGTTTGTGATGGCCATAGGCTTCCAGTCAAGCCAACCCCTGATTGGAGGAGCCAAGCAGCATCCCTGAGGGATAGCAGCTCCAAGCCCCACTTCCTTCTTGCCAGCTTCTCTCTGGCAGCAGCCAGGAGCATGAAGGAAGTTGTTGCATCCAATGACCCCGCTGTAGCAGCTCTTTCCTTCAAAAGCAAGGCCCCTGCCCTGGAAAGTGGCGTGGGTTTCTCTTCTTCCTTCTCGCATGCCTTTTGGGTGTCTTGCGTGTTGCTGCTTCTGTTCTTGCTTCCGTTCCCTCTGCTCTCAGATTCCCAGAAGGAGAGAGGAATGCAAGTGACATCTCAAAAAGATAAACATGAAGACAGCATAGCATAGTAGAGGACGCCCAGAATTTGGAGTCAGATAGACCATGCTTAGATCCGGCTTCTCTCCCTTAATGCTCGCTCTACTTTGCTTTCCAGAGACTTGTCTTCCCCCTTTAGAAAAGTGGGAGTGAGGAGGCGGTTGCTGGTGCTGCTTGTGTTTGTAAAGCACCAAGCCCAAAGCCTGAAAGCGAGACACCTTCACAAATTCTAGCTGCAATTAGTATGATCATTATAGATGGAGGTCTAAGACAGCCTCTAAATTTGGGGGTGGGAAATAGCTGGCTTGGGAGCCCCGGAATTCTATGACTTGAGTGACTTTTGACTGTGATGACACATAGAATAAAATCCAAAAGAAGTTTCCAAGTTGGGCGTTCTGACAGTCCTGACACGGTTTGACTTTAGAGCAGTCTTTCCCAAAATGGGCACTACTGTCCACTGGTGGTGCGGGAACACTGGGTTCAGGGCTGGGAGGAGTGGCTGCAGCAGCAGATACCTACACTTTAGTTAGATGTTGAGCTACAGTGCAAACATGTTGAATTGTCAGGGAGGCGCTGAGTAGCTTTTTCTGAAAAGACGGAGGTGAGCCCTTTTATCTTACCTTTGTAACATCATCTCAACCAGTCCCATGTCTCCACTCATTCTTCTTCTGTCCACTGTTACAGAATTCTTCCCCCAGAAATAAATATTTAGGGTTAACCAAGGAGTATATGAAAGACACTTACTATAATTGCCACTCAGCATATGGCTATCCTTCCCAACCTGCCAATAGAAAAGACAAAGAATACCTGAGGAAGGAGGGCAAATGCACAAAAGAAGACATTTTAAAATGGATGGCATTGGCAGGCGCAGCTGTCAGTGCAGGCTCTCAGGTCCCTGTCTGAGCCTCTTTGACCACAGCCATTTGGAGCCCAGTGGCAATGCTCTGAGCAAACCCTTGAACACTTAGAGGAAACCGACATCCCCTCCCTCAGTCACACTTACTGATGGATGTTAGCCATTTAGTTAAATGGCCAGATATGTGAGACCTTGAGGGCTGGGTCCATATCCAGGATATGGACCATTGTAGCGCTCAATGAAAATCTTTCAAAGGTTTGGAAGGAGGAGGCAGAGGAGAAAAGAGTAAGGAAGGGAGGAAGAAAGTAAGAAAAGAGGTAGTTCACAAACCAGCCATCTAAGTCACAGCTATGCTTCTCGCTTCCACGTTGTTCTTATTGTTGTTAGGTGCCATTGAGCCAGTTCCAATCCACAGTGACCCCATGCACAACAGAACGAAACCCTGCCCAGTTCTGCACCATCCTCATTACTTGTGATACTTAGATTTATTGTGCCAACTCGGCCAATAGGAACATGGGGGCAGAGTTTGATCAGTTCAGCTTGATTGGAGTGCAATCGAGATAAATGAAGACTGCCGGCACCCCATATTTCTCTTGCTCACTGGTGATTGGACCAGTGTGTTGCTGCTTTAGCTAGTTCTCTGCCTCAACCTGTATACTACACTACCTGTGGACCAAGCCAACCCATGGATCATGTTGCTAGAGCTTGAGGCTCCTTTGAGCCATGCTTCATCACGCTTAAAAGCTGGTGGATCCTGTCACCATGCTTGAGTTTGAGATCCAACTGAGGCCTGCTTTGCTAAGCTCCAAAGTGACTAACTGTTGCTGACCCACCATGGTGTTTGCTGCCTGTGGGGAGACTGCCTGCCTTACCTGAGGGAGGACTTCACTGTCTGCTTCCTTGACCTTGGACCTGGCAGCCCATGTGAGTTGAAGGACTTCTAGTGTATTAACTGTTCCACAGAAGTGAGTTGAACTGAACCCTTTGTATTGCTGTGTAGACTAATTAGCTGTTTTATTCCTATCACTGTATAAATCTATCTATTTCTCTATCCATCATCCATCTATATAAAATCATAAGTGTCCTGGTTTTGTTTCTCTCGAGAACCCTGCCTAACACATAACTGATCCCATTACTGCAGCTATGGTGTCAAGTTATCTCCTCGAGGGCATTCCCTCCTGGTGGCATAATATTTATGGATTGGGCTGCTAACCACAATGCCAGCTGTTCGAAACTACTACTCGGCACTCTATGGGAGAAAGAGGAGGCTTTCTACTCTTGTAAAGAATTACAGTCTCAGAAACCCACAGGGGCAGTTCTACCCTGTCCTGTGGGGTCACTATGAGTCGGAATGGACTCACTAGCAGTGAGATTTCCATGATAGCCGAGTTCATTCCACCAGGGAGATTGATGTTGTATATATTTATTTGTGTTTCATTGTCAGTCATAACCCCTTCCTTTTATTTGCTGAAGACACTCTGATTCTGTGGTCAAGTGACCCTCTCACTAATGAAACATGATAGGATTTTTAAAAATGTGATGGCTAAATCCCTATTCCTTGCCATTCACATATCCAATCATTACCATAATACTTTTCCTCCCTAGACATCAAATGTTTCACAAACTTTCTCTTCCTGCACATAGCACATCTTCACTGCGGAATGGTTGCTGTCTTATAAATAGAAAACGGAGGCAGCAAAAGCTAAATAAATATCTTATATGGTTACTGGAAAGTTTTGGTCTAGAATCCAAATTTCCTCACCCACCATGCTTCCCTCTAGACCATACCAACCACAAGGGCCAAGGACAGTCTAGCCAGAGCTGCCTCCTGGGCCAGCTGTTGTGAGCTGGCCTCCTTTCCCCGGAAGGGAGCTCAGCAGTATGGAGGGAAAAGGACTGAAGTGGCTGCATGCAGTCTCTCTTCTTTGCTGTGAGGAATATCTTAGAAGATCTAGTCCATTTCTTATTGTCTCTCTGGGTGACCTCTATCTATGATCACACAGACAATTAGAAATACCGTGAGGCATTTCTGTTTCAAAGGACCAACTGTGAACTTTCCATTAGTTTGGTTTTAATAGTTGCCTCCAAAGATGGGAAGGTCAGGTGGCAATCAGAAATGAGGGGGTGACTGGTCAAGTGCGCCTAGAAGCATTTTCTGCAGGCACGCTCTCTTTTCAGGGCTGGGTGGGAAGGGAGAACTAACTGGTTCCCCTCCCTCGTGTAACAGCTGAGGTAACTAAGTCCTAGAAAGGTGAATTGACTTAGTGGTTGGTATGAAAAAGCAGGAGTGTGTGTAATTTTACCATGTTCCCTATTAAATTGCAGATGGATAAACATCTCAGGATAAAAAGCCTTGGTCTGTTCTGGCCTCATGACTTTATGAGGCTTGTACCTTGGATGTGTCCTTTCTTGGCTCCAGTAAAGGCCACGATGACAGCATCCTCTCCGGTGTCCTGAGTCTGAACATTTGTCCCTCTGGGAATTACCTTATGGGCTCTTTTGCCTACCACCCCCAAGCTTCCCTTGATGAGCCTCCACGCTCTTATCAGGGGTGAGCTTCACCTTTTCTGGGGATGCCGTCTGACCCAGGCACCACGCTTGCTATTCTGGAATCTGGAGCTCTGCTGTTCCCATGGTTCTGTTGCGGAATATTGCTTGTAGGGGATCCCTGTCCTAAAAGAACAGTTTTCTTATCTCCTCTGGCTCTATTTTGTCCTTACTGCGAGAGTCACCAGGGTGGTAGTCTTTTGTTCGTTTATTTTAAACAATTCTGGATTTTGTAGCCTACCTTGCTTTCTCCTAAGTGACTGTGGTCTGCTTTGTCTGAGGTGCTTGTGGCTGAGAGACTTGCTTAGATTGCTGGAATGTCCTTTTATGACTTCAGGGTCTAGGGCAATATTTCAGTGGCCTTCATTATGACCAGGAGCCCTGGTGATGCTGTCAGGTAGGTGTTGGATTGCTAACCACAAGGTCAGTGGTTCAAACCCACTAATAGCTTTAAGGATGAAAGATAAGGCTTTATGCTTCTATAACGATTCACAGCTTTAGAAACTCTCTTCAGGCCCCTATGAGTTGGAATTGGCCCCATGGTGGTCGGTTTGGTTATGGGGTGTAATTATGGTTAGGTGGTGCTGTGGATTTATCATTGGATTGCTGACCACACGATTGGTAGTTCAAATCCGTCAGTTGTTCCACAGGAGAACGATAAGGTTGTTTGCCTGCCCTTAAAGATTTACAGTGTGAGAAATCAGGGTATAAAATAAAGAAAATAGGTTAGAGATGAGTTGAAATTGACTC